ATGTTAGAAGATTGATAAAATTGAAAAAATTAGAAGCCAAGAATGAAATGTCTAGGAATAGAATACAAATTGTAGAACTATGTGAAAACAAGATGAAAGGGAATTGGTGATTTTTACAGTGGTGACATTAGGATAATTCATAGTAGAAGAAATGATGGTGGAAGAATGGAGTCACAATAATGCTTAGCAAGGAATGGGTACAAAGTGTATGTAATTGTGAGAACCTGGAGATGTAATGTGAGAATCTTTTCTTTGATTGGGAAGATTTATTTAGAATTTACTTAATTATTTAATGATTTAAAAAAACTTATGGAAATGAACTATAAAATAGGAAAATGAATCATAAAATATGCTTTTTACTTTTGAAATTGGTAAAAGAAGGAAATATAACTTCCTTCTGTTTGTGAAAATAACTGACTTTACCACTGGAAATGATCTTATCTCACGTTATGATACATGTCTTGTTTATGATACATCTTGTACTCAACCCTTGGATCCTGTCACATAGCGACATATTGACTCCCAATTGAAGCAAATTTGGGGATAAAAAGGGTAAACATTCTATTTATCAAGACTCTCCCAGAAAAGTGTTTCTTGATGCTCTCCGAAAAAAGCCTCACATCTGAAGGTTCTCACTCATTCGCACCTTTGCTCCCTTGAAATCCTTGACGAATTAGGAGGAAGATTGCTGTTGGCAGAAGAATCAAGTACTATTTAGAGACATTATAAAACCATTATTGTAAACTCTTTCTCTTATGCAATTCATGTGAGGTTTAGATACTTTGATTCTTAAAGTGTAGGGGTAAGGCTGCTGGCTAATGACCTAATTAATTAAGACTGATATATATACGGACGGCTCTAGGTCTGATTCAGGCACTGGGGCTGCTTTCGTAGTTTATGAGCATAATGAAGAAATTCATAGTGACAAAGTTACATTGGAAGCATATTGCTCCAATTTTCAAGCTGAGTTATTGGCCATAGACAAAGCTGTTGAATGGTGTATAAAACATGAACGGAAAGGTGTCTGTATTAATACAGATAGTCACAGTGCTCTTCAGGTCCTTACTAACCGTAAATGTAAACATCAGCAGGTCTTTAGTATTCAGACAAAACTCAGAGAACATGGTCTAACAGAGAAGTTTTATTTTAAATGGGTCAGAGCACATGTCAGTATATGGGAATGAATGAGCCGATTTTCTGGCCAAAGAAGCAGCCACTGGTAATGAAAGTGTTTAACACAATTCCACAGTCCTGGGGAAAGGAGACATTAAAAAGTAAAATTATAGAGAAATGGCAACAGATTTGGACAAATAGTATAAAAGTAAGGAAAACCTTCGACTTATTTTTTAATTTTTTTTTTATGTTTTGTATAATTGTATTTAAAGTATAAGTCATTGTAAAGAATATTGTATTTAAACCCTGTTATGCGAAAGTGGTGCAGGGAAAGACTGATCTCCATTAGGAGAAAGGATGATTCCCATTAAATGTATGTATACGTGTATGTTTGTATATATGTTACCGCTAAAGCTTGAAATCCGTTAATGTGTACATTACCTAGCTAATCTGCAGATTAACTAGGGTGATCCGTTAAAGCTGCGAAAATTGTTCAATTTCTCAAATTACCTAGGTAATTTGCAGAGTATCTAGGTAATCTGCACATTAACGGCTTCCGTATCGTTAAAGTTCAAAAGTTTGTTTCTTTCACTTCCTTTCCCCACTCCTTCTTTTTACGTAGATAAATTTAAATCCTAGAATGCAAGCAAGCACCGAATTGGTGAGTAAAATCAAGAAAAGATTCTTCGCAAACCTCTTTAGCGAAGATTTAAAATATAATACGTAGTGTTTTAATAACAAACCAAAGTATGATTCCATAATTGAAGATGTAAAGCAAATAAAAGTTTCCAAGAAGAAAGAATCATCTCGAGATTATCAAATAATTCAAAGGTGTGATGTGTTGACTGTACGAGGCTGTGAAAAACTCATTGAGCCGTTGTCAGATGCGCGAGAAAGGTTTGAAAAAGTTTGTCCATGCCGGAGAATTGTTTGACATTCGATAAAAACTGAAGAAGACCTTGAAAAATTAGAACATTCACAAGAGACTGTTATTATGAGATCACAGTCAAATCTTACTCAAGAGGACATTCCGTTATCTCCCGCTTCTACAGAATCACCTATAGAAATACAAGAATTTACCGATAGTAATCTTAAACTGCCTTCTATACAGTTGATTGATGATGCAGTCACGAAGAATATTCAGTTACCCTGCACCTCCAAGGAATCGCCTCTGCAAGTTGAAGAAGTCATCACTGAGTTACTCTCAACTTCAGCAGAATCGCCATCACAGTTTCGTACGGAGCCTGTAAAGAGCACTATACAAGACATAGTCTGTATTGTTTGCTCAAAAGCAGCATCAAGTGCTCACAAGTGTAAATCGTGTAATATGTTTGTTCACGCAGTTTGTGGTGAAGTAGATCCTAAAGAGGAAGGGTATGGTAAGAATGTATTGTGCATCATCTGTAAAAAGAATATGGATCAGAAAATACAGCGTGATGAAGCCAAGAAATGTTTAGAAAAGCAAGCAAAGAAAATGTTAGCAGTTTCTAATGCAAAGCACCCAAACGTCGATGAAGGTTTCGCTGTGAGAATTAAAGTACCCGAAGAAGACAGAGCAAAAACTGATGCACGTTCAATTTTAGCTGTGGTTCTTAGTAAAACAGAGGATGGCTTTTATAAACTTGATACTAAAACAGGTATTTTAAAACAATTGTATGCAAAATCTGAATTCAGTGTTTGCAAAGAGAGATTTTTAACGAAAGAAGATGGATGTCCCTGCTGTAGAAATATCTTTACGTCAAACAGCAATAAAACAATCCCTTGGTACTGGGCAGGGTTTCAGAAAATGTGACTGCAAATCTAAATGTACCACAAATAGGCGTGCTTGTCGCAAAAACCAATTGCTACGTAATTCAAAGTGTCACCAATCTTTAGATTGCACTAATAAGTAAGTACAATTTTATCATATGTTTTGCAAATTCATTTCCCTAATTGTAGTAATATTTTAAACCGTTTGATTTTTGTATTAAAGTTTTTTTAATTGATTGATGATTGATTCAATCAACTAATTTGTTGATTGTATTAACTTGATTCTTTAGATATTGAAAATTAAATAAATAACATTATGTTAATTTAAGCGTACAGAAACGTTGCTGTTGTTCCAGCAAAAATCTTATTTTCACTTTACTGAGTGCCTAGTAGGTAATTTGCAGATTACCTAGATAATCTGAACATTACCTAGGTAATTTGAGAAATGGAATAATTTTCGCAGCTTTAACGGATCACCCTAGTTAATCTGCAGATTAGCTAGGTAATGCACACATTAACGGATTTCGAGCTTTAGCGGTAACATATATACTGTTTAAACAGTATACAGGATTGTGATTTGTGAACTATTAAATAAATAAATAAATAGTTAATAATAATAAAAAAAAACCTTTGATTTTTATTATATCCTAGTTTAATCATTTTGTATTTTAAACATATAAATATATTTTATTATTAAACATTTTTATTTATATTTAACCTTGTCATGAACTCAACTCATTTAAATGCCAATCTCTCTATCGATGGACTTACAACCCTCCCCATTTGAACGTATTTGGAAAAATGCATTTTATCGCGAGTTAGGACATGATTTCTTTATTTATCCTAACTGGCGTCAGAAATACTAGACTAAAGAAAGATTTTGACAATCTTTCTTTAGTCTAGCCATTAATTTATAGCCATCTGCAAACCCTGTGAGCAAGTTTCGCAAAACTGACCTTGCATCAGGTGTTAGGAGTTGGAGTAAACCCATTTCTACACTGCGAGTTCTCACATAATATACGTGTAAATGATAGGTTACACATGATAAAAATTAGCTGTATACCAACAGACTTGATAATAATTCAGGTATATATTCTAATTTCTAACTCAGAAGAAGAAATGATAGAAAAAATGTATGAAGACTTCAAATATACTAGAATTGACAACAGAAAAGGACAATGTAATACTAATAGGTGATTCTGATGTTACAATGAGATCCCACACAAACACAGAGATGACAGACAGGAAAATTCAGATTTGGAAAAACTAATCAAAGAGGTAAAAAGTTGTTAATGAATTCTATAAACAGAATGGGATGATTATTTCCAATACTTTTTTTGAAGTCCCTTACAGAATAACCTACACATGAGTAGCACCTAGCTCCAAAAAATACCAAATTGACTACATCTTTATAAAACAAAAAGAAAGGAACTAAGTGAAAACTAGTCATAGTTACTAGGCCCAGATGTAGACAGTTGACCATAGGATAGTTGTAGTAAGGTGTAACATTAGATTTAAAAAAGTCAGGAGAAAAAATATTTGTTTAGAAAGATTAACAAACATAGCAACAAGACAACTCTATCCAGAAACAGCTAATAATTGATTGAGTACAACCTCTGAAACTGGATGGGATGGCATAAAGGCAGGAATAAAGGAAGTTTTCAAAAAGATATTAAGATGATGATAATTGATAATTATAAAATCCTGGATGACAGAGGAAATACTACAGTTAATAAAGAAATCAAAAAAGAAATAAACTGAAGAAAGATAACAACATAAAAAGATACAAGAGAATAAAAAATAAAATAACCAATGAGTGCAGAATACAAAAAGAAATGGATGGAAGAAAGGTAATACCAACAAATCAAAGTCTTTAGTAACAGATAGATATATATGGTATTGTTATTCAAGCAAATTAATCAAAAATTAGATTAAATATAAATAAAATACACACAGTAGTAAAGGCTAATAAGTTAAAATTTATTATTGATATTTACTTTTATTAAAATATAAATTATAGTGAGTAACTTATTTGTTAATAAATTATTAAATTGTGCACATATCTAATTATTAGATAAGTTTAATGCAATCTATTATAACACAAAATAAAAGAATTGAAAGTATGAAATTATACATACCAAATTTAATTGTCTTTGATCTGGAGAAACTGGTTGCTGTGTTAATTGTGAAACTGATGGTTGCTGTGGAGATACTTGAGGTTGAAACTGTGGAGTAACATATGGTACATAAACGATAGTTGGCTGCAATGATGCTTGAGGCTGAATCTGTTGTTGAAAAGGTTGTTGAATAATAGACCTATGTTGCTGTTGTGCTTGCTGTTGAGATTGTTGTTGCTGCTGTTGTTGTGTTGATGGAGGTGGTGGTGGTGGAGGAGGTGGGGGTGGTGGTGGTTGTTGTGTTTGTTGCTGCTGCTGATGTTGCTGTTGTTGCTGAGGATGAGAAATTTGAGTTGCAACTTGAACTTGAGGAGTAGCAGTTGTTAATGTTTGAAATGGAGTAACCATCATAGTTTGGCCTCCAATATTGTTTGTCTGTCTAGTTCGATATACTGTACCATCCATATTCATGTAGGGTGTACCTAATAAAAAGATACAGAATTTTAAATTAATTTATAATATATTCTGACATATAATAATAATTAATTTAATTTAAAGAAATTCAATTTAAAGAATTCCAAGCATTCTTTTAGATTTAAAAGTCCTTAAAAGAATATTCAGAAATCATAAATGGTAGTATGATTATAACAGTGATGTTATGTTTACAAAATAAAAGTTTACACAATTCCATAACAATACATAACTGCATGCCACACCAGGATGAATATAAAATATGACTCACATCAAACATTAACTGGTGTGAATATGATTATCACTTGAGTAACAAGCTTTTTTCAAACACATCCTAATGTTCGATCATATTTAAACATCTCACGGGGAACACATGTACATACATACAGTATTTGAAATCTCTTACTTTTGATTTTGTTCAAATTTTAAGATCCAGCTTGGTTTGTTATAAAAAAATTGAAGAAGAGCCCAGAAGGGAAAAAATGTTCGTTGCTCAAGTGCTAATCATATTCACCCCAGTTAATGGTTGATGTGAGTCATATTTTATTTCCATAACAATATTGGTAATCCCATCTGGAGGTCACAACTTCTGAGCAAGAATGGAAACAGATAATGCATAAGCATGGATGGGAGATAAGTCAGAAATGCATATGTAAACTGTGCTTAAAGTAAGCTGCAATTATTATTTTAATTATTATAATTTTATGATAGTTAAGCATGAAGAAATTATTCCATCAAAATTTTTAAAATCATGTTTTAGCAGTTATTTTAACATTAAACTACAGTAGAGCATCGATTATCCGACTCAATTGGGGACTCAGGTTGGTCAGATAACTGAAAAATTGGATAACTGAAAAAAATGAAAAAAATACATTATTAGTGTAGTATATTAGTATATCCCATGTAATTAGTATATCGCTATTAACCAACTTCGCATTGAATTTTCATCGATGTTAAGCCTAACAAATTTTTTTTAAAATAATAATCGTCGCTATTGTATCGTTAAAAATTATTTTAAAATTATTTTATTGCTCACAAAACAAACAACCACTCATAATTAGAAAATTAAATCTCGTTTAAATACTGGCCTCCGTTTCATGGTCGAGCCAGTGTTGCCAGCTAAAACACGCAAAAATTTAACAAAAATAATATTAAATTAGCCAAGACATACCCAAATATTGTAGCGCCACATCACTAGCGGACATTTGAAATTTGCCGACTAGGACGGTCG